TTCCCCAGCCAGCCTGGCTGGGGAATTCTGGGAGTTGAAGTCCACCCGTCTTAAAGTTGCCAAGGTTGAGAAACGCTGCTCTAACAAACTGGGACAGGTAACACCCCAAGGGCTCCTGGACAGACACCCTTCAATCTCACGAGGGAAGTGGCCAGAGGTGGGACTTTTATTTAGGTGCAACCAGTCAGGATCCTAGGAGCAGCAGCCTTGATAGCTTCATGCAGTTATTAATGCTATCTTGTGGGTTGTAGTGAGGGGGGGGGGGAGGAGGGGCCATTTTGGCAAAAACAGCTTCCTTCTTTTCCATACCCTTGTCAACATCTTGCTAGGGCTGAAAAATTTCTTTAACTTTTCTGCTGAAAAAAAGTGCTTGATCAACTGGCCTTTGGCTTTTCCACTGCTGGCTGTTTGCTTGGGTGCCTTTAGAAAAATGGCTGGAGCTCTCTCTCCAAATTAAGGCCCTTTCTTTTGCATTCTTTTTCACTCAAATCTTATTTTTGTGCTGTGATCTACCTCACATTTGTTTCTTGTATTTTTCTCAACATGGAGTCCTATATTGCAAGATAATGCAAATCTTCATCATGATTTTGCTAGGTCACAACAGACACTCATTGTTAGGTCTGCAACTTTTTCTTATGGCATCCTTACCATTCACCAGTCCCACCAATGAGGCAGAACTGGGAGGGCTGTCCCCCCCCCCCTAAACTGCTTTCTGCTTGGTTTCTCTGCTTTCACATCACTGGAATTTCATCTGATTTATTTGGTTTGTCTTCTCCTTTGTGGCTTGCTATTGGCCATTATTTCCCAGGTCTCCTTTCTCTTTTCTGAATTCATATTCTTTCATCCTCTTAAGCTACCCAGCCTTAGTTCTACCCCACCCCCCCAGCAAAGATGTCTTCAGAACTTAGACAGGTTATCCCAGTTAAAGCGCTGCTTTAACAAATCTTTCACGTCTAAAGACAAAAGGGCTTGTGATGAAAGAGGAGTTGGTTGTCCTAGCACCATGTTTCTTCAAATTTGGCAACTTTAAGATGTGTGGACTTCAACTCCCAGAATTCCCCAGCCAGCATACGGAGTTGAGGTCCACACATCTTGAAGTTGCCAAGTTTGAAAAACAGTGTTCTAGCAGAAGGCAAGTAAAGGGTTGACTGACTACTTCCCTATAAGAAAACCTGGGTGGGTGAGGGAGGGTTAAGAAGAGAGAAGCACCTGGACAGAAAAGAAGAGGGAAAGGAGACAACTAGAACATGTAAAACAAAAGAAAAGAGAGATGCTGTTAGCCCCTTTTGGAAGCTGATCAGTCTTTCCTAAATAAGCACAGGGGTTTTTTTTTAAATAAAAAGAGAAACATATATCCTATACTACCAAGTTTCTCATAACAAGCAATTGTTAAACAAAATATTGTTTGTGATCCACTGTTCCTCTGCATAAATGAGAGATAGAATATGGTACTACTTTCTCCTTTGAAGATAAGGTAAGAAAGAAGCGAACATCTGTATAAGATCAAAGCTCAACCTAAGGACACAAAGTTTAACATTTCTGGGAAGTGGCAATGAGATTTTAAGTGTATTTCTCCACAAGTCAACTTAGAAGAAATCATGCCATTTTTACAAATTAATGCCTTATTGCTGTGCCACTGCTAACCATTGGTTTTGGTGTCAGATGACTGCCAAGCTGAGAAGAGGCAAGGAAATTGCCAATAATTTTGCCAACAGTGATGGCATGAAGCATAGAGAGCTATTTTGCATTCCAGGGTCAGCCTTCCAGTTTTTGGAATCTATTACTTGTTTTTCATCTTCTCTTCAGGTTATTACTTTGGGCA